GTTCGAGACCATCCTGGTCAACATGGTGAAACCCCGTCTCTACTAAAAATACAAAACATTAGCTGGGCACGGTGGCGCGTGCCTGTAATCCCAGCTACTCAGGAGGTTGAGGCAGGAGAATTGCCTGAACCCAGGAGGCGGAGGTTGCGGTGAGCCGAGATCGCGCCATTGCACTCCAGCCTGGGTAAGATTTGTGACATTCCGTCTCAAAAAAAAAAAATTTGCAAGAACATGTCTAGACAAAGACACAAATACATTCAAAAATGCATTAATTCATAGCAGCCCCAAACACAATCCAAATGTCGATAAACAGAATGACTAAACCAATTCTGGCATATTCCTACAACAGAGTATTACTCAGCAAGAAAAAGGAACAAACTGTTGACATATGGAATAACTGGATGAATCTCAAGTTAAGCAAATGACAACAGACATAAAAATAGTACATGTTTTATGATTTTATTTATACAAAAATCTAGAAAAGAAAAATCTGGGCTGGGCACAGTGGCTCATGCCTGTAATCCCAGCACATTCCAGCCCAGGTGACAGTACGAGACTCCATCTCAAAAAAAAGAGACAAATCGGGCCAGGCGTGGTGGCTCATGCCTGTAATTCCAGCACTTTTGGAAGGCTGAGGCAGAAGGATCACTTCAGTCACCAGCCTGGGCAATATAGCAAAACCCTGTCTCTACAAAAAATACAAAAATGGGCTGGTGCGCTGGCTCAGTCCTGTAATCCCAGCACTTTGGGAGGCTAAGGCCTGCAGATCACCTGAGGTCGTGAGTTTGAGACCAGCCTGACCAACATAGAGAAACCTTGTCTCTACTAAAAATACAAAATTAGCCGGGCATGGTGGTGCAACCCTGTAATCCCAGCTACTTGGGAGGCTGAGACAGGAGAATCACTTGAATCCAGGAGGCAGAGGTTGTGGTGAGCCGAGATCGAGCCATTGCACTCCAGGCTGGGCAACAAGAGCAAAGCTCCATCTCAGGGGAAGAAAAAAAAGGTCGAGCACAGAGGCCGAGGTGGGTGGATCACGAGGTCAGGAGATTGAGCCCATCCTATCCAGCATGATGAAACCCTGTCTCTATAAAAAAAAAAAAATGAGCCGAGTAATGTGGCACATTCCTGTAGTTTCAGCTACTCAGGTGGCTGAGGTGGGGGGATTGTTTGAGCCAGTAAGTAGAAGTTGCAGTGAGTCGAGATTGCACCACTGCACTCCAGCCTGAGTGACAAAGCGAGACCCTGCCTCAAAAAAGAAAAAAAAGGACAAAAGACAAATCCAATCTATAACGACAGAGGACAGATAGGTGGTTTCCTGGAGAAGGAGGTGGAGGAGGAGAATCGTTTGGAAGTCACGCAGTAACTTTTGGGGGTGATAGAAATGTTCACTGTCTTAATTGTGAGGGTGATCAGATTAGCATATAAACTTAAAACCTACATTTTTTGGAATATAAGTTATACCAAAATAAAGGCAATTTAAAAATAAACACAATGAGATAACACTATACATACTCCCACTAGAATGTCTAAAGCTAAAAAGACTGGCTGGGTGCATTGGCTCACACCTGTATTCCCAGCACTGTGGGAGGGCAAGATGAGAGGATCACTTGAGCCCAGGAGTTCGAGACCAGCCTGAGCAACACAGTGAGACCCTGTCTCTACAAAAAATAAAATTAGCCAGGTGTGGTAGCATGCACTAGGGGTCCCAGCTACTTGCGGTGCTGAGGTGAGAAGACTGCATGGTGAGGTTGAGGCTGCAGGCTACTGCAGTCCAGGCTGGGCAACACAACAAAACCCTGTCTCAAGCCACGTTGGAAAACAGGTTAGCAGCTCCTTGTAGAAAAATATAAGCTTAACATATGACCCAGGAACTCTACTCCTAGCTATTTATCCAAGAATAATTCAAACTTGTCCATCCAATGACTGGCACATAAATGTTCATGACAAGTTTATTTCTAATAGTCCCCAAATGGAAATAACCCAAATGTCCATCACCAGATGAATGAAGAAATGTCTGGTACACCCATGCAATGGAAAATGATGAAAAGGAATGAACTACTAATATGTGCAACAATGTGATGAATTGCAAAAATAAACTGAGCAAAAGAAGCACCAAAGAGTACATACAGTATGATTTTACTTATATAATATTCTGGAGAATACAAAATAAAATAATATCCAAAAGTAGACTGTGACTGTAGGATGGAGGGGGTTGACTGCAAAGGAGTGTAAGTCATGGTGCTGCTAAATTGGTTCTCAACAAAGAAAGGAAAGGGAAAGGGAAACAGAAGGAAAGGAGAAACAAAGAAAGAATGAAAGGAAGGAAGGAGGGAGGAAGGGAGGGAAGGAAGGAAAAGAAAACAAAAGAAAAGAAGGGAAAAAAGAAGAAAGAAAAAGAAGGAAGGAAGCCCAGATTTGTGGTACTTACTGCTTTCTGTGGTGTAAATACTCCCACCATGACCAACTTTGAGCTTGTAATATGATGTTTCTAATGTAGATTTGGGAAGAGATGTACATATTTGGCTCCCGAGCTGGTACTAGCCAGCTCCAGCACATTATCTACCACAGAAAGGAACAAAGGTGATGAGATGGTCAGTATCTTGAATGTGTTAGTAGTAGCACAGGTTTATATATTTGTCAAAACTTACCGAACTGTACTCTTAAAATTATGTACTTTATCGCATGTAAATAATATTTCAAAAAGTTATGTTTCAAATAAAATATCAGCAACAACCCATACGCCCAATAACAAGGGACTGGTTACCTTAGTTTACTGTCTATCCTTTTGATAGACTAGGATGCAGCCATTCAAACAACTTAGATTTCAGCAACACAGAAACATGTTTTGCTATACCGTATCATCTTTTGTGGCGGAATGGGAAATTTTATGTTTTTTATTTTTTATTTATTTATTTTTTTGAGACGGAGTTTCACTTTTGTTGCCCAGGCTGGAGTGCAATGGCACAATCTCGGCTCATGGCAACCTCCATCTCCTGGGTTCAAGCGATTCTCCTGCCTCAACCTCTCGAGTAGCTAGGATTACAGACATGTGCCACCATGCCCAGCTAATTTTGTATTTTTAGTAGAGATGGGGTTTCTCCATGATGGTCAGCTGGTCTCCAACTACTGACCTCAGGTAATCTACCCACCTCAGCCTCTCAAAGCGCTGGTATTACAGGTGTGAGCTACTGCGCCTGGCCAGGAAATTTTATTTTTACCACGTTTGTCTATGCAAATTCTGTGGGCAGATAGATAACATCAGGCCTTCTGAAAGCAGTGTCATGAGTTAATTCTTTTCTTTGTATTTAGAAGCAGTACACAGCAAAATGACTGAGAGCCCACAATCTGTAGCCAGACTACCTGGGTTACTGTTCAGATCCCAGGTGTCACTTCTTCCAGCTGGGTGACCATAGGCAAGTAACCTAAACTCCTTGAGCCTTAGTTTCTTGACTGTAAAACAGGCACAATAGGAGTGCCTATCTTGGAGGGTTGCTGGGAGGATTACGTGAGTTACTATATGTAAAGAGCCTTAAACAATACAAAGAATAAGTGCTTTAAAGATATTAGGCTGGGTTTAGTGGCTCATGCCTACAATACGAGCACTTTGGGAGGTTCAGTTAAGCCCGGGAGTTTGAGACCAGCCTGGGCAAGACAAAACCCCATCTCTACAAAAAATACCAACGCCCCCACAAACAGATTAGCCAGGTATGGTGGCATACACCTGTAGTCCCAGCTACTAAGGAGGCTGTGGTGGGAGAATCACTTGAGCGGGAGGTTCAAGGCTATAGTGTGATCACGTCACTGCACTCCAGCCTGGATGACAGAGCAAGACACTAGCTCAAAAAAAAAAAAAAAAAAAATAGCTTATTATTTTCCTGAAGCAATGATATTGTTTGCGCAATAAAAATGCTTACCATGTGCTAGGCAGGGAACACAGAAATTTATATGACATGGCTTCTAACGTCGAGGAGCTATAAATGTGTTTCTTAATTGTGGGGAGTGTTTGGGAAGGAGTTCACCCCCTTCCTAGGAGACATTTTTTAACATCTGGAGACATTTTTTTATTGTCCCACCATGATTTGGTGGGAGGGGACCTGGTGGAACTTAGTGGACGGGGGCCAGAAATGCTGCTAGACCTTCTGAAATGCACAGGGCAGCCTTCCCACAAAAGAATTATGTGAGGGCAGACACAGTGGCTCACACCTGTAATCCCAGCACTTCGGAAGACCGAGGCGGGTAGATAGATCACTTGAGGCCAGGAGTTTGAGACGAGCCTGGGCAACATGGCAAAACCCAGTCTCTACAAAAAATGCAAAAATTAGCCAGGTGTGGTGGTGCATGCCTGTAATCCCAGCTACTCAGGTTATCTAGCTACTGGAAGAGGTTGCAGTAGCCAAGATCATGCCATGGCACTCCAGTCTGAACAAGAGTGAGATGCAGTCCGCCCCCACCCCCAAAAAAGAATTATGTTGTCCTAAATAATCAAGGTTGAGAAACCCTGAGTCATAGTATAACTCAGGACAAAAGATACACGTATACATACAAATTGTACAAGCAGATAATCAAAACAGAGCATTATGCAATTATATACATAAAAAAATAAAAACAGAAAATATTCGAATAGCCCTGACCCAGAGTACAGGATTCCCTGTGACACCTGGCCAGAAACAGAGGCCTCAGTGAGCTTCCAGTTTTGGGACCCAATGGACACACTTCAACGATTTACAATTTTTAGCTTATTCTATCAGTAGGTACCTTTTTTAAAGGTTAAGTCAAAGTTAAAAGGCTTCATTTCTGCATTACACTACCAGTGTGAAAATGCACTAGCTGGGGCGGGGGGGGGGGAGGGTGATTAAAAAAAAAAAAATGCACGGGGTCAGTTCACATATATTTAATTCATATTACCATTTCAATGCAACTTGATAAAGAGTTGAGTCAATTTAAAATTCTTGGCCGGGCGCAGTGGCTCACGCATGTAATCCCAGCACCTTGAGAGGCCACGGAGGGTGGATCACCTGAGGTCAGGAGTTCGAGTCCAGCCTGACCAATATGGAGAAACCCTGTCTCTACCAAAAATACAAAATTAGCTGGGTGTGCTGGTGCATGCCTATAATCCCAGCCACTAGAGAGGCTGAGGCAATAGAATCACTTGAACCCAGGATGCGGAGGTTGCAGTGAGCTGAGGTCGCACCACAGCACTACAGCCTGGGCAACAACAGCAAAACTCTGTCTCAAAAAAAAAAAAAAAAAAAAAAAAAAAGAGGTCTTAAAAAGGTGGAGCAAAAAAATAAAAAAGGTTTTAAAAGGTTTTCATGTCTATAATCCCAGAACCCTGGGAGGCCGAGGCAGGAGGATCACTTGAGTCCAGGAGTTCAAGGCCTGTCTGGGCAACATAGGGAGACCCTGTCTCTACAAAAAAATAAACAAAATTAGCCAGGCGCAATGGCTCAAACTAGTTCCAGCTTCTTGGGAGGCTAAGGCGGGAGGATTGTTTGAGCCCAGGAGGTTGAAGCTACAGTGAGCCAAGATCATGCCATTTTATTCCAGCATAGGCAAAAGAGCAAGACCCTGTCTCAATAAATAAATAAAATTATTAAGAGTACAGTTTTTGCAGTTAACAAGAAATGATACATGGAAATACTTTGGTTTCCATTTAAAATAGAACTATCACCAGGTGCGGTGGCTCATCCCTGTAATCCCAGCACCTTGGGAGGCCAAGGCAGGCAGATCATGAGGTCAGGAGTTTGAGACCAGCCTGGCCAATATGGTGAAACCCCGTCTCTACTTAAAATACAAAAATTAGCTGGGCATGGTGACACGCACCTGTAATCCCAGCTACTAGCTACTAGCTACTAGCTACTAGCTGGGATTACAGGCATGCGCCACCACACTCAACTAACATGTTTTTTTTAGTAGAGATGGGGTTTCACCATGTTGGCTAGGATGGTCTCATTCTTCTGATCTCGTGATCCACCCACCTCAGCCTCCCACAGTGCTGGGATTACAGGCATGAGCCACTACACCTAATCCTTTTTTTCCTTTGAGACAGGATCTCGCTTTGTCACTCAGACTGGAATGCAGTGGCATGAAGAACTTGGTGATTGAAACAAGAGGGAAGTGTCCACTGGCGCCTACTAGATTTCTGGCTTGCACTGTGGAATGGGTAGTGATGCCACTTTGCAGTGTTTCCCAAGTGGGAGGAGTTGGCAGCCACATGGTTTAGCAGAATGGGGAGGATTACACAGGGGACTTCAAGTTGCATTTTCTTGAACCATGCATGGGATTACATCAGGTGTTTCTTAGACAGAGTCTCACTGGAGTGCAGTGTTGCAATCTCAGCTTACTGCAGCCTCCACCTCCTGAATGCAAGCTAGGACTACAAACACGCACCACCACACCCAGCTAATTTTTGTATTTTTTGTAGAGATGCGGTCTCACCACTTTGCCCAGGCTGTCTCTACTTAACTCCTGAGATCAACAATCTGCTTGACTCAGCCTCCTAAAGTGCTGAGATTACAGGCATGAGCTACTGCGTACGCGGCCACTTTCCTCTTTCTCAAATTATCAAAGTGATATGTGTTCCTCACTGCAGAAATTTTGAAAAGGAGTTAAACGGAAACCACCTGCAACCTCAAATTATATCCACCATTAAAATATTGACATATTTTCCCCAAGATAGTTTTTTTTTATTTTTTTCTTGAGATGGAGTGTCGTTCTGTCGCCCAGGCTGGAGTGCAGTGGCACGATCTTGGCTCACTGCAACCTCCGCCTCCCAGGTTCAAGCGATTCTTCTGCCTCAGCCTCCTGAAGTACATGTCACCATGCCTGGCTAATTTTTAAAAATTGTATAGGTTGGGCATGGTGGTTTATGACTGTAATCCTAGCACTTTAAGAGAACGAGGCAGGCAAATCACTTGAGGTCAGGAGTTTGAAACCAGCCTGGCCAACATAGTAAAACCTTGTCTCAAAATACAAAAAAAATTAATTTGCTGGGTGTGGTGGTAAGCAACTGTAATCCTAGCTACTTGGGAGGCTGAGGCAGAACCGCTTGAACCCAGGAGGTGGAGGTTGCAGTGAGCTGAGATCGCGCCACCGCACTCCAGCCCAGGTGACAGAGTGATACTCCATCTCAAAACAATAAATAAATAAATAAAAATATTGGAGACAGGCTTTTGATCTTATTTCAGTTGCTTTAAAAATCCATTTGCCCTTACTGGTATTATCATGACTAATGTTGAGACAGAGGTCGCCCACCAAACTGCTGGAGAGCAGGGGAAAGTTGAAACAAATTATGTATAATTTGTAGTGTGGGTAATTCACGTAAAGACAATACCAAGATTTTCAGGGATGTCATCTCACTTAATCTCCACTGACTTTTTTTTTTAGGTGGGTGGGGGGTACAGTCTCACTGTCGCCCAGGCTAGAGTGCAGCGGCATCATCTCGGCTCACTGCAACTTCTGCCTTCTGGGTTCAAGTGATTCTCATGCCTCAGACTCCTGAGTAGCTGGGGTTACAGGCACACACCACCACACCTGCCTAATTTTTGAATTTTTTGTAGAGACAGGGTTTCACCATGTTGCCCAGGTTGTTCTTGAACTCCTGGCCTCAAGTGATCCACTTGCCTTGGCCTCCCAAAGTGTTGGGATTATAGGCGTGAGCCACCATGAGCGGCCAGTCTTCACTGATTTCTTTCTTTTTTTTTTTTTTAAGATGGACATCCAGGCTTCAGTGCAGTGGCGCAATCTAGGCTCATTGCAACCTCCACCTCCCGGGTTCAAGCTATTCTCCTGCCTCAGCCTCCCAAGCAGCTGGGATTACAGATGCCCACCACCACACCCGGCTAATTTTGTATTTTAGTAGAGACTGGGTTTCACCGTGTTGGCCAGGCTGGTCTCCAACTCCTGACCTCAGGTGATCCACCTGCCTCAAGCTCCCAAAGTGCTGGGATTACAGGAGTGAGCCAGCATGCCTGGCCCAATCTTCATTGATTTCTAACAGTTACACACACAGGGCAATTCTTCCACAGTTAATAGATTAAGTAAAACACTGGGGTTAGGAAACTGCTAAGCCATGGAAAATCCACTAGTCACAGTATTGTGTGAGAAATGGTGTCCCTACACTTCTAGATTCAACTTGCAAAGATATATCTCTAGCAAAGAAAGACCACTTCTTCCTCTTTTATCGAAGAGTTGGCCAAACTTTCCTAATTCTTGGTGAAACCCTTCAGGAAAGTCAGACAGACTTCCTCTTAGGTTTTCCCAGTGTGACTAGTGCAAGGCAATTATCTGACAAGCTCAAGCCATATGGTAATGGGCTTTGTGAACCAGCGACACCCAATTACCCCTATATCAGTAGTATGAAAATGAAACAATTCAGGAAATTCTTTGTTTTTATTTTTTCTTTTTTTGAGATAGAGTCTTGCTCTGTCGCCCAGACTGGAATGCAGTGGCACAGTCTTGGGCTCGCTACAACCTTTGCCTCCCAGGTTCAGGCAATTCTCCTGTCTCACCTTCCCAAGTAGCTGGGAATAGAGGTGAATGCCACCACACCCGGCTAATTTTTTTTTTAATTTTTAGTAGAGCAAGGTTTTACCACGTAGGCCAGGCTAGTCTCGAACTCCTGACTTTAAGTGATCTGCCCGCCTCGGCTTTCCAAAGGGCTGGGATTACAGACATGAGCCAACACACCTGGCCCTATTATTACATTTTTCCTATATCATTTTAAATTCTTAACCTGGAGCCCACTTACCAATGTCAAAGAATGTCAAGACACTGTATGCATACATTTTTTTTCGTTTTTTGAAACGGGGTCTTGCTCTGTCACCAGGCTGGAGTGCAGTGGTGCCATCTCGGCTCACTGCAACCTCTGCCTCCCAGGTTCAAGTGATTCTCCTGCCTTAGCCTCCCAAGAAGCTGGGACTACAGGTGCGTGCACGAGGCCCAGCTAATTTTCTGTATTTTAGTAGAGACAGTGTTTCACCATGTTGGCCATGATGGTCTCTATCTCTTGACCTCGTGATCAACCACCTTGGCCTCCCAAAGTGCTGGCACCGCTCCTGGACCACATTTTTTAAAATATGCATTTTGCTTAAAAAAGGCATTCATGGCCGGGCGCGGTGGCTCACGCCTGTAATCCCAGCACTTTGGGAGGTCGAGGCGCGCGGATCACGATGTCAAGAGTTCAAGACCATCCTGGCCAACATGGTGAAACCCCGTTTCTACTAAAAATACAAAAATTAGATGGGCCTGGTGGCACACGCCTGTGGTTCCAGCTACTCGAGAGGCTAAGGCGGAAGAATCGCTTGAACCCAGGAGGCGGAGATTGCAGTGAGCCGAAATTGCGCCATTGCACTCCAGACTGGCGACAGAGCAGGGCTCTATCTTAAAAAAAAAAAAAAAAAAAAAGGCATTCATGACTTTCTTCCAGGGCTCATAATTAAAACAGGTCAAGAACCACCCTCCTTTATGCCTGTACCCACATTCTTTCTGGTTCGAAATTGGGCCTTTACAGGGACACTTTTGGAGGTTGAAACATTTCCATTCTGTTAAGCATCTGGTAGCTATGGATGGGGGTCTGAAAGGAGGAACCCATTAGCCCACCCTAAACAAGTCAGACCTTATCACAGCCCAGGTCTTAAGCCCTATATAAGCAGGCCTAAGGATTCTTCGGAGAGGAAGCTCTTTTTAGGGACAAGGGCAGTCAGGATAGCTTGAGCCCATTCCCTACCAAGCCACTAACCGGGTGTGTGACCTTGGACAAGTTCCATACCCTCTCTGGGCTTCAGTTTCCACAGCTACACATTGGAAGTGGAGCCACATGGTCTTAAGGATCCGTCCCAGCAGAGCCGGGTACCGAGCCGATGTAGCCATTAAAGCAGTTTCCTGTGGGCGCGGCCGCAGGACTTTAACGGTCCCCCCTCCCCCGCTCAGGCCCGCGAAAGCCTCGATCATCACGCCCCTCGGAGCGACGGCGCTTACCCAACCGCAGCCACAGCGGTCGAACCCAGCTCCGCCTCTTCCCGGGGGCGTCCCATCGTGCCCCGCGCAAGGCTCCAAAGGCGGCCGGGCGCCTCCCGCCTTTCCGCGCCCCGACCCCGAACTCCTCTCCCTAGTTCTCCCGGGCACCCTATCCTATCAACGCCTAGTATCCCAGCCAATCGCGCGGGATCCGAGTCGTACCTTCGGTCCACCCTCCTCCCAGCGCTCAGCCGGTCTGAGCTCAAGGCCTTTACCAGGCCCACCCAATCAGCGGCCGGCTCTCTCCTGCCCCACCTCAATCTCCCTCCCCTCGGCCTATCCGTACGCTCCATTCCGCTGCCCGCCCAGCCAACCCGGGCCTTGAAACCAGCAGGCGAATGGGCGCGAGGCGGCCCTTCAACGCTGAGCACCTGGCCAATTGGGGATTCCGCGTGGCCAAGACGGCGGCCAATCGCTGTGGAGCGCGGCGCCGCCGCAGAGAGGTCCGGCCCGAATATCCCTCCGCCTTCCTCCCTCCCTCCCTCGCTCCCTTCTGAGCACCGCCTCCACTCACAGCCTCCCTTCCTTCTTTCTCCCTCCGCCTCCCGTGCACCAGCGCGCTGTGAACTGCCCCCGGGGTCCCTCCCCCGCCGCCAGCAGCCCATTCGGAGGGAGGAAGGAAGGGAAGAGGAGAGGAAGAGAAGCTCGAGCGACTACCCAGAAAGAGCCGGTGAATGGGCTTGTGGTGACCCCCGCCCCCCACCCCACCCTCCCTTCCCACCCGACCCCCAACCCCCATCCCCAGTTCGAGCCGCCGCCCGAGAGGCCGGACCGTCGTCTTAGGAAGAGTCGCCGCCGCCGCCACCTCCGCCATGGAGCTGATCACCATCCTCGAGAAGACCGTGTCTCCCGGTAGGACGCGGGAGCCGGGGGTCGGGCTGAGGTGATTGGGGTGGGGGAGGGGAGGCCCGGCCCCTCTGACCCCGCTCTGTCTCCCACTTTCCTCCCCCTAGATCGGCTGGAGCTGGAAGCGGCGCAGAAGTTCCTGGAGCGTGCGGCCGTGGAGAATCTGGTGCGTGCTGCCCCTCCTCGCCCATCCCGCCGCGTCCCCATCCCCTGCGTGCGGGGCCTTCCCGCCCTCCCAGAGGCCCAGGCCTCAGGAACCCACCCCGCCCCATCCCGTCCCCCTTCCCCCCACCCGGTCCAACCTAACCCCGCCATCGGGAAGCCGGTGGGTGTGTCCCGCCCCGGGCCCCGCGGCTAGCCAATGGCGCGGCGCGCCGGGCTTCCTGCCGCCCAATCGCCGCGCGGCCTGAGGGCGGCGGTGCAGCGCGAGGGAGAAAGAGGGAGGGAAGGCAAGTTAGGTTGCGCGGCGCTGCGTGTTCAGCAGGGGTGGGGGTTGGGGAGCCGGGCCTAGGGGCCATGTGGAAGCTCCGGGCCCCGCCGCCCGCCCTGTCTGACCCCGGCCAGCTTCTCCTTCCTGTCCCGTGGCCCCTGTGGCCCTCCCCACCTATTTTCTAGAGCTCTGCCCTTTTTTAGCTCCGTTGGTTTGTGCTTATGGCCAGGCCTGGCACCCGACTGCCTCTTAACCCATTTCCACTAATATTTTTCCCTCTTCTGCCCGGTTATTCCTCTTGGGTATTTTTTTCTCTCTTTTTTTTCCCATTCTTTCTGACCTGGATGAGCAGAGACCTAATCACTAGGGATCTGCACCCAGACAACAGACTGAGGCTCATCTTTGAGATCGGGCCTATTTCCTGATGTAATCAAAGAGGAAAGTTCCTCGTTTTTCATATTTTAAAATTTAAGGAGTACAGAGAAAATGAAGCTAAGTCCGCTAGAGACTGGACCTCTGCATAAAAATGTGGAATGAATTGGTTGAAGTAGCCTGGGTGCCCGTTAAGTTTGCTGTCCATCTCCTGTTTGGGGATGGAGATGGGGACAGAGGGAAGGGTTGGATGATGCTTGACGTCTTTGAGAAAGGTAATAGGAAATAAGTCTGAATAACACTGTAACCATATGTGTTTCTTTGTGTTATATAGGCAAAATGTAAACAACAAAGTGACAAGGCTTATTTTATACAGACTGCCTTTGAAAGATTTATTTTTTTTTCTTCCTCATGCGCCAGTTTTTACAAGTAACCTGTTTATCCTTTCCTAGAAAGTGATTTTTTCACTAGTATAGGCTGATTAATTCCATTTAGGATATTATTCCTGTTTCTGCTTTTGCCAATTTTGCAAGAAGCTTTTTATCTTATTCCTAACATTCTTAACATTCTTTAGTGGTACATAAATAAAACTTTTAAGAATTATCTTCTGCGATTGCAGAACTTGTTAGCAGTAAGAATGTATCTGCTTTTGGCTTTTCCTGCTAACTTTGCTATTTGGGCACAGTGTTTTTGATGGAGAGAGAAGGGTGTGTGTGTTAAATTTTTAAACGAAAGGGAGTAGTTTTTGAGGCCAGTGGATTACAAAAGGTTACAAAAGAGCATGCTTTTCAGGGATCCACTGTATTCCTCAACTAAAGTCCAAATGTACAGGAGCAAGTAATTGTTGATTATTAGATACAAAGTTATTTTTATTGAACAACTTACCTGAACATTTTTTCTTTCAATTTTTTCCTGTTTTTACATATCTTATTATCACTTTCCCTCATAAATCCGCTTATTTCATTGTTCTCTTTTTGCTGAGTGCCCACAAATAAAACAGGACGAGGATTCTAAGTTTGTTTTAGATTTATCTATATTTCCCTCTCATAAAAGATTACATCCTTCCATGGGATAAAAAGCTACCCTGCTTCCATGGGATGGAAAGTTGGATCATTCTTTTTGGACCAAGGTTTTTGAAATTTAGATAAACAGTTTTGTTTTCTACCCCCATCATAACAGTAATTCATTCAACAAATATTTGTTTATTTATTTTGAGGCAGAGTCTAGCTCTGTCGCCCAGGCTAGAGTGCAGTGGTGTGGTCTCACCTCACTGCAACCTCCGCCTCCTGGGTTCAAGCAATTCTCCTGCCTCGGCCTTCCAAGTAGCTGGGATTACAGGCACCTGCCACCACACCCGGCTAATTTTTGTATTTTTGGTAGAGACGGGGTTTCACTGTGTTCGTCAGGCTGGTCTTGAACTCCTGATCTGGTGATCCACCTGCCTGCAGCCTCCCAAAGTGCTGGGCTTATAGGCGTGAGCCACCATGCCCGGCCTTTCAACAAATATTTACTGAGTACCAGACGTTACTATATGTTCTTGGGACACCTCAGTATACATAGAAGAATGCACTGACTACCGCCATTCTGTGAAACCTTGCAATTCAGTGGGTCTGACGTGACAATTTGGGCACTAAGATTGATCTTGATAAGAAAATCTGTAATTCTTCATTAAGTGCTAGGCTCCATGAGAAAAGTGGAAGACTTCCTGTTATACTAAGTAACATTTTTATAGAAGTCTTCAAGTAAATATTTTGTGGTTTCCTGAGATGCTCATGATATATCAAAAAAAAATTAGAAATTAGTTTCCCCCATCCCCAGTCCCCTCTGGTGTTTTAGTGTTCCATAAGTTATCCTCAGTTGTGGAAATTCCTAAGCTATTTTTATTATTTACAAATTTATCTTCCCTTAACAGCCCACTTTCCTTGTGGAACTGTCCAGAGTGCTAGCAAATCCAGGAAACAGTCAGGTTGCCAGAGTTGCAGCTGGTCTTCAAATCAAGAACTCCTTGACATCTAAAGATCCAGATATCAAGGCACAGTATCAGCAGAGGTGGCTTGCTATTGATGCTAATGCTCGACGAGAAGTCAAGAACTATGTAAGTAACATTCATCTGTTTGCTTATACTGCCTGGAGAACAAGAAATCACTTTCTCAGTTCTTTTCCTGTTTGTATGGGATAGAGCTGACAGTCTGATAGGTTTCTGGGACCTGAACTTCACCTAAAGATAAAAATTGTCTTTGTTTTAAATCTTTCTCAATACAGCTTGTCCATTCCTGTTGATGGATTCGAATTCTTTTTTAGATGACTGAGGTAGGCTGCAGCAGTTTGGGAAACTTTAATTAGGTGCCATAATTTATAAATTCGCTTTGGCAAATTAGAGTAGTACACAAATTGGTGCTGTCTACATCACTTAGGGAATTTGTTAATACGTATTTCCAAGCGCTCCAGAAATTCCGGTTTGATACTGGTGGAGTGCATTTCAGGGATGTTTTTTGAACTGTCTTCCCAAGTGATTCTGCAGTCAGCCAGCACCTGCTCTTGTTGACATTCTGCTGTAGATGGTGGTTTAGACATGGTACTGTATAGAGTCAGAAGGAGAATTACATCATGATCTTTTGGGCCTTCCAAGCCCAAAGGGTTTGTGAAATAGGAGTGCAACCTTAATGGTGTTTTATCTACTTAGCAAGTTATGAAAAACTTTCTTCAAAAACACCTGAGTTTTTTACCAAGGCATTTCGAGTGGGATGAATTTGGGGGGAAAGGTGATGAATTTTGAATCATGACATTCTTGTTACTGTCTTGTAGAATTAGAAATTCATAGTTCCAGATGAAGCAAAGGATTCAGAATATATGGACTGGTGTGTTTTTTTTGGTTTTGTGTTTTGTTTTGTTTTTGAGACGGAGTCTCGCTCTGTTGTCCAGGCTGGAATTCAGTGGGGTGGTCTTGGTTCACTGCAACCTCTGCCTCCCAGGTTCAAGCAATTCTCCTGCCTCAGCCTCCTGACTAGCCGGGACTACAGGTGCCTGCCAGCATGCCCAGCTAATTTTTGTATTTTTTTTAGTAAAGATAAGGTTTCACGATATTGGCCAGGCTGGTCTCAAACTCCTGACCTCATGATCCGCGTGCCTTGGCTTCCCAAAGTGCTGGTATCACAGGCATGAGCCACCATGCCCGGCCTTGTTGTTTTTTAATTTGTTGTTTTTTTAATTAAGTTCTTTAATGGTCTGTAAGGCACAAAGAGGAGTGAGATAACTATCTGTACAATTATCATTTTGTCCTTGGTATCTGAGTGGAAACCAGTGGGGAATTACTACATATGTACTTGTGCAGGTCATGGTTATGCACATCATACTTGCTATTTCCTGGTTCTAGATGTCAGCATTAGGTAAATAAGTGCCCTTTAAGGCAACAACTTCTCTATCTGGTTGTGTTTGCATACTCATGATAGGGAACCGGGTTATTAAATCCAACTTGGTTTCAAATCTTCTTTGGAATATGTAAAGCTGTTTTTATTCATGTTGGGTCTGCTTGTGTAATAATATTTTAACGTTTTGATTCCTTCTCCCTCAGCTAAGTGACATAAATGGAAGTTATCACTGGAAATCTCGATACTGATAGTGCTCATCTTCTTCAAATTATACACTAGTAAATGGGATAGGATGGAATTGGAATTGGCTTATTTTTTGGCACATCACTCTTAACACCAACCTTAAAAATAATTAGATAATAATGGCCGGGCGCGGCGGCTCATGCCTATAATCCCAGCACTTTGGGAGGCAGAGGCAGGCTGATCACCCGAGGTCAGGAGTTTGAGACCAGCCTGACCAACATGGCCAAACCCTGTCTCTACTAAAAATAACAAAAATTACCTGGGTGTGGTGATGGGTGCTTGTAATCCCAGCTACTCAGGAGGCCGAGGCAGGAGTATCACTTGAACCTGGGAGGCAGAGGTTGTGGTGAGCCAAGATTACACCATTGCACTCCAGCCTGGGTGATAAAGTGAGACTCCGTCTCTTAAGAGAAAAGTAA